TCTGAAGTGTGTCAAAACCCATTGCACATTCATGTACAGATGCAAGCACCAGCACTTCCTGACCAAATGCATCAGTCCAGTCAATGCAAACACCAGCACCGGAATGATTCAGTGAACATGAAGGATAAAGCAATTGTTTCTGGAGGCTGCAACTTCAACCCTAAATTCATGAACTGTGTACAAGACTGATCACTGGGTGAACAAAGATTCTTTTGGATATTTTACCAATTAAGGTATAACTTTGCTTTTGAGAATAATGGATTTCACCAAAGTTGAGAAGAGTTAGATAGAGGATATTTTTAAACGAGCTGAAACAACTAATTTATGTCAAACTTTGGATTTAAATGGCTTTATATTGTAGTCAAAGGAGAAGGCAGGATAGTACAGCTTTGATGCCCTTGAAAAGAATGAAGAATATGTGAGTTAGGAAACAGTGCAAGGAGTGTTGATTAGAATAAGGTGAGAATGAAAGCTGGAGGAAGAGTTTGTAGGATGATGTAGTAACAATCCTTGCATTTGATATAGCACCTTGTCACATCAGTGAGATGTCTCAAAGCACTTCACAGGATATACTGTGCAATGGTAAACTTAAAATTCAGCAGGAACTAAGGAAGAAATTTCAGAGGAACAATGATCAAAGTCATACTAATAAAAAAAGAACAAGAAAAAGTATGAGCGAGAGAGAAAGAAATAAGAAAGATTACAGGTGGGAAAGGATCCCTTTCTGACAACAATTCTTTCTTGTATTTTGGTCAAGAACATGAGAGATGCCCTCACAACTTTAGGAATATCCAAATCTTGGCTCGACATAATATTTACATAAAATTAAGCTAAGTAGCATTCTGCACAGAACAACCCAGAATGGAAGAGATCCAAGAAGAGTGAAATTGGATTCTAAATTTCCCATTGCCTGAACAAAACATTTGGACAACATATGTAACCGGAATGTTGCTGGTTTACGAATTTCAAACCAAGTTTGAATGATACTGCATACAGCAGGAGTCTCTTACACCTGCCGGATGGAGGCTTTCAAATCTGCAGATACATTCATTCTCACACTGAGGCAAGTTTTAAATTGAAAGCAACTAAGAAACCGGGGTGCATCAGAATTTCATGATGACAGATACCAAATATATGCATGATATTCATTAAATCTGATGCTATGTCTCCTGAAAGACATCTCAGATTCTGGAATGTGAAATTAGGTCATCTCCTGTAGGCTGCAGGATTTCTGCAAGCTTCAGTGCAGAAGAACAGCAGGACTGCTTCATCCCAATAAGAAAAGACATTCTAAAATCTCAAGAAATTGTAACCATCTCTGCAGGGATTCATTACAATGCACACTTTTAAAGAAATCTGGAATAGAGGCACGCACCAGTTTGAGAGCAAGCAATATGAACAGAGGGAGCCCTCCCAAAGGTAACATATTACACAGAATTACATGGAATCTACAACCCACAAACAAGCCATTCAGACAACTAGTCGATTAAGGCTTTACATTTTAAAATGTTTGCTTTTGTTTTGTCTTTGGGGGATTTGTTTTAGAAAAGCAGAAAGGGTAACAGGTTGCAATTGTTCCAAGGTCACTTGGAGGAGGGGGATATTGTGTTATGATCTGATTTCAGTTCACGTGGCCAGTAGATTATTCTCTGCCTAACTACAACACTGCATAGCTGCACAATTTTGAGGTGGTGCTGATAAATGTTAAAATTACATAGTGGAAAGATTGTTTTGTGGTGAAGCAGTCGCCCTTTGTAGCTGCTGTTAGTACAGGAGTAAGGATCGGGCCAGACTGGACAGTAAGGGAGAGATGAGTTGTAACAATAGGAAGCTTTAGTTTTGCAGGTTCTCTCCCCCTTCCCTCCCTCCCTCCCTCCCTCCTACAAACACACGTACTTTTCTGGTAACACAGCTGGATTCCTACCTGATCAGCATTAACATATTAACATAAACAGCAGTGTTTTGCGTTGGCATTGCCACACATAAAGTCTAATTTTAAAGCTTTAGAATGGCAGAACTGTCCATTCCCTAATAATTTATCTTCCTTAATAAATTTGTATTATCGAATTAAATAGCCGCTAGTATCGACAACAAACATACTGTCATTCTCGTTTATCATTAACTCTGTTAAGAATTCCAGTTGTTCATTAATTAATTACTAACCAGCCACCATTAGTCATCTACTGTCCTCTGTGGATACATATTATTTACCTTCCATTTCTCTCTTCTTTTCATTTGAATAACTATTCATTGATCTCTTCGCCTCACTTTAATACATCAGCATTGACATTAACATAAATGGACGAATTGATGCATTTATACTGCACAGTACCCACCGAATCACACTGATTTTTGACAGTGATTATCGGCAAACGTGCAGCTGGAGCTCAGACAGTGGGAATCTCACTGGATTCCCGCTCCTTACACCTGACAGGAGGAAGTGATGTTGTGAGAGCAGGGATTCAAACCCATAAACACAGCATGTGTGAACTGTGCTGGGCACACTCCCTTGTTCTCCATTCTGTGGCCTGAGAATCTTGATGGACCATGTTATTGAATGTTATTGAAGTTTTAGCCCCATGATCAACATTAACATTAAAAATGCTTATCAATTTTTTTTAAGAAGATTGTTTCAAACCAAGGTGTGAATTCATAGCTTGCCAAAAACACATGTTTATTTTTATTTCAACCTGATTGAAATCAATGTGAAGAGCGAATTGTAAACCCATCTTCCCATGTGCATCACCATGCTGCCGAGAGTAAAGTGGCTTCAACCTTGGCAGCACAAGTGCAGATATTGGTTCTCTTACCCAGCTAAGATTTATTAGTCCATTTCCAGGTGCACTGGATCCATGACACTTTGTCATATTTGCTCTTGTCTCATTTATAAGATTAAATGCTGTTTGGTATTTTTTGCGTAATTGATAGATCAGAAACGTGTGATTTAGAATTCCCAAGTTAATCCTATCTGGGTTCTTGCTCATAAATCTGAGACCTCAAAGAGATTCCCTCAGAGCCTATTTTCCTTGCCATGGCTATCGAGAGACTTGCATTAGGCCCTCATTACAAGCAGCTTTCAGCTTTGGTCTATGTATGACCATCCAAGCAACAGCAATTCAGAGATCCCAAAGCCATGCTTTTAATTAACGTAATTGAAATAAAAAAATCCCACAGATTCTACTATGGAGATTTTGCAGAAAATAGGTTATTGGTTTGACAAGATTTATGGCTGAGAAATATGTTTGGATTATGTATTTAGCATCTCTTCAGACTGTGTGCTTCATCCTGCTTCTCTCATCACGTTTGTCTAAAATATGCAGGTCATAAATATTTGAAATACTGACAAAAAACCTTATTGACCACGGGAAATTTTATTGCATTAGGAAATTTTGATAGTTTGAAATAAATGTATATGATCAAACATCTTAGTTCATCATTACAGTGTGTGGTTCTTTACTAACATTACGCATGGAAATAACCAGATTGATGAAATATTTCACATCATTACTCCCTGATTTCTAAGATCGTAATGAACAGGTTGTGGATTCAACATTCCTGAAACAGCTCAGACTATGTTGTATTTGTTTGATAGTTTTTCCCTCTCTATATCAGTGGATTTCTTCTCCCACTGAATTAAATGAAACACTTTTGTGTGAAGTTATTTACAATGCATCTACCTGCAAGTATTTACATACTGTGGAGTGAGTGCTACAAACTGTGAATTCTTATAGAAATGAGAGATGATAGCGCTAGCTCATAGAATTACACAGAAAGTTACGGCACAGAAACAGGCCTTTCGATCAAACTAGTCCATGGTGGTGTTTCTAAATGAGCCACTGCCACTTCTGATCATTCTCAAGCTGCAATTATACTGCTCTGACTAGGAAGTCTGGTTTATAATGCCCCCGCCTCTTAAAAGTGAAAAAAATCTTTTTCCTTTGTTTTATTTTCCATCACTGCTCTGTTCTCGAGCTATTCTCGTAGATGTAGAGTTTGCATTCCTAAATTCATGTTATAAGTTTTGGTTGCAGCCTTGAAAGGTTCTTCCCATCTATAGTCAGCTGTTTCCTCAACGAAGAAAATGAACAAATAAATCTCTGATCGTTTTTCTTTGTCTTAACTTTGTGGTCTGTTTTCTGCAGGTCTTAAGGGCAACTAGCTTCAAAACTTTCCCGTTGATTTCACAAAGTCAATATGGAGGAATTCACTCTGAAATCATATTGGATTACAGGCTGACAACCAGCTGAGCTGTGTGCAGATCTGGGTGTAGAGTTGAAATTCACACCATTAAGGATAAAAAAAACTTCATGTAAATTTTCAGCAAGGTTTAACCATGTGAGGGAATACACTAGGCAGAATATTGTAATACGTCTTTCAGCATGAGTAAGGCCAGTGCTCAGTTTACGTCTCAGGGAGCACATTCACTTTGTATCAGGCTGACACGGCAGCATTTTACAGAATTATCAATGATTTACAGGTTCATTTGAGTTTTACTTCAGTGATTGTTTAAATTGCTTCCATCACACAGCATTACATCATGCTAATGAACTGTATGGAGGATTGACTTGTTTGAATGAATTTTGAGTGCTTGACAAATACACCATTTAAGTAAAGACACCATTTACTTGATCACTCGCTACTCATGTAAATGTGAAGTATGGGGTGCAATACATTTGAGGAAATTGGGCATTTTTATGCATGTGAAAAGCTGGCCACTCCACATTGCGAGAGCCAACCATGGGACCACAGACCATCTGAAGTGAACCTACTAAGGGGATACCTTATACTGGAGTCGCCCAGTTTCTTTGAATTATACTGTAAAAATAGATGCATATGTTGCCCCTTATCATAGATTATGATCTAATTTATGCACAAGTGCAATCACTACTTAAAGGCTGGTTGGCTTAAAAATTCCAAGTGCAATAGTATTTTACAATCCGTGCACTTAAACCAAGTCAATCTTAACAGGAAACATCACATGCTGCAGCTGATGTACTTACCTGTTTCACAAAGTTGTCCTGTAAACCCTTGCGGACATGAACAGACATTGGGAGTATTACAAGTGCCTCCGTTTCTGCAGCCATCTTCACAAAAAGCTGATGAGAACATCAAAGATACATACTGAGAAACACCCTTGCAATAAGCAGTAAATTTAATTGCTCAATAAAACATTAATACGTTAAAGATCTGGATTTTTTCAAATATATTACAACCCCTCCCCCCACTTCTTACTTTGCTACCAATTAGGCTTGCATACTGGAGTAATTTTCTATAGTCCCCAACGATTTAAAGAGATGTTTCCATAACTTGTGACATGAAATGCATTTTGTTTGATATATTTTCTTTTAAAAGCAAAGTTCAGCTGCCTGGTGTTAAAAGCAACTGTTCTTCATTGCAGTCTCTTGATATGAAATAATTTCAGATAAATCTCATAGTTAATTGTTAATTTTATCACACAAACAATTTTTTAAAAATTCTGTCCTATCTTTAAACAATGGTTTTAAACTGTGTTTCCCTAGTTATCCTTTCTACATCTCTTCAATATGTACAGGGAACACAAGTTGTTTTCTAACTTCAAATTAACTTAATGGTGAGCCATTGAAAAGGGATCCTCCAGTTTGAAATGTATTAATCCAAATGTTACGCAATAGTGACCAAAGAACTAATGTCCATTAAGACTAACATTGAGAGGAGCTAATTTAAAGCAAAATATTGATGGTGCAATGAATCAGCAACATTGTGAAATATTAATTGTGTGGTTTGGCCTACAGGTATCAGACAAACAGTCACACTTATATGTTAGCTGTCACCAATGGGTGAATGAATGGCTTGCTGGATCTCCACTACATTAAAATCTGCACTTGCAATTTTATTTAGGTGCACAGTATATACACTAACAGAATTTGATGAAAACTTCTGATGGAAATAATATTGAGGACTACAAACGTATGTTTACTGAGTGTAGGGTGAAGTAGAGCAGAGTGGAGGCAAGAGAAACAGAAATACTGTAGTCATTTATGAACTGGAAAATCTGAGTGCATTTGTATTGAGCTTCTTTGAACTCTGAAAGTAGAGAAGGCTGTTTCTGTAAACTACAAGGGAGTTTCTTGTTACTCAATTACACTACATGCACCAAGTGCTATGTGAAGACTATTATTGCTGTTAATCCTTTACAATAGAGTGCTCTCAAAACAGCCAAGCAATGCTTGTAACTTGACAGTGAAAATAGCAGGAATCACAGAAAGATTGGGGTGGGGAAGGATTAAACCTAAAGTAAACTGACAATAAAGAAAGGAAACTGTTCAAACTTGAGTTGCACTAAGCAGCACTTGAAGAAGGAGCTTAGTCTAAAATCAGGGAAATGACTCGTTATGGTGCACTCCTGAATCAAATTGAAAAGCTTGATTAAATGTCCCATTTCGTAAGAGTGCTTATAATTATTTAATTTAGGTTTTTGAACAGTTTTTTTTAAAGGAAATGAATCACCAGGGTAAAAACATCACAAGTGCTCAGCACTCAGATTGTCAATGTTTCATCTACATCCTTCATTTATCTTCTTCACAATATGATTAGAAATGTATTTTTGAATACGTGAGTGGCATTATTTCTTACAAAGCAATTTCAGTCTACTATAAAAACTGTCATTTATACCAGGAACTGACAATCACAAGGAAATTGTATAATCTATAGAGCAGTTTGTTTTTATTTAATAAAAAAATAATGGCTTGAAGGTTTGTGCTCAGTGCTTCTATACAAATCTCAGCCTTTGTAGCTGTATTGTTGTTTTATCCAGTATTTGAACCGTGAAGGCAAGAAAAATTCAATAGCTACTGAATGCTGCAAAGCATGTAGTATTCCAGGGTCAAGGTCACCTTTTAGAAATGGAAACAAACCATTTGGCTACAGGAATGCTTTTATTCAAAATAATGTGTTTCGATGTGGAAATGTCACTTTTAAATACAGCATCTGTGTGGGTGTGTATGTGTGTGTCCCTCATTTGCTGTGCACATCACAAGAATACAAGTTCACAAGGTTGGTTTGGATGAAGGATTGGTTTCGATATAAATAAATCCATTATCCTAGCCTGAACTACTCTTCCTAGTGACCTGTTCTAGGTATTAATTACCCTCCAAGTAAAGAAATACTTCCTGGTGTTTGTCCTAAGATTGCTCTTTACCACGTCCTTTGAATCAATCAATTGTTTAGACTTCTAAACATCTGCATCATATAATTTTAGATTGGATAATAAATGAAAGGGCCAAGCAAATTATTGGAAACCTGAGTACTGAGCACTTGCACAGCTTTTAATTCTCTTGCGATTTATTTTCTTAAATATGAAATATTTTAACTGATTTTACAACAGGCATTTTCATTGAAGTGTTATAATTTTAATCAGATCTGCTCTAGTAACACACTCTACCATGGATTGCTCTGTGGGCCCAACATATTTATACTTAATGTACCAATTTAATGTTACAGTTTTGCTTTTTTTCATTATTTTGGAGACTAAGCTAATAAGTTGAGGATCACAATTACAATTCCACTTTAAAAAATGTACACTGCACACTTTTTGTAGATTGTTTAATTGGAGTACAGATAACTACTGCAACAGATTGAGACTAAAGGAAGTGGCCTATTTTTTAAGTGGATACTTGCATTCACCAAAATAAATGCATAGTCACTTTGTTTGATGGACTTTGCTGAAACAATATTCAATGAGGATAAAGCAAATAGTCAGTGGAGTGTCAACTCCTTAATTGTCAAAGCATTGGAATCAGAAATTTCAGCCCAGAAGGAAATCTGAGCGATACAAATAGGGACTCCATATGATAACTGGATGTACGTCACATTAATCTGCTCTCAGGAATGCAGACTTGTAATTGTAATCCTCAAAGTATTAGCTTAGTCTACAACGTAATCTACAGTTGGATCAGAGTTCCTGGAGGTTCCAGTGGAAAGTAATGGGATCCCTTATTAAGAATCTCATTATTTTTAAACTCCACGTTTTTTTATCAATGGGGAAATAGAATAGCCAGACATCACATCTTTGCAAACATCACAGTGAGATGTTCTGATGTATCAAAGACAGCTAATAAATGGTACTGGTATTGCTTACCTTTACAAAGCGTGCCATTGCCTGTGTAACCTGGTTTACAGATGCAGTTATGCCCTCCTACAGTATTAAAGCACAGAGCATTCTTGTCGCAGTTGTGGAGCCCTGTGCGGCATTCATCATGCTCTGAAACCACAAGAAAAAAAATATTTAAGAACAAAAGTAAGATTAATTCAGAAACAAAAAAATGTAATTTGCATAATTTGCCAAATGGACTCCAGGAAGCTTCGAGAAATATCATAAATTACTGTATTGTATTCCATTCTTTTCCCTCCTTAGTTTCCAGAATGTTTTAAACAAGTTTCTTAAGAGAAAGAAAATGGCTCAAGACTAAAGTTCCAATTGATCTTGCTCCGTAAAATTTAAGATCATGCAGAATTATGAGGAATTCTTAAATTGAGTCCTAATTCGGAAGTCTATTTTTGCCGTTCTTAAAAAAGAACCTTCTAAATCAAATTGGTTACTCACTCCATGACTGTTTATTGGATGTTGCTGTGCACAAATTGGCTACCACGTTTCCCCAAAATATATAGTCAAATCACATTACAGTATATCCTGTGAAGGGCTTTGAAATGTCTCAATAGCATCTCAGATGTCCAGATAAGACACTATATCAAATACAACAATTATTATTATTATATCTTATATATCTTACATTTTAATACAAAATGTTCTTACTGGGTAAGGTTAAGTGGCATTTTGGCCTTCCGATTTTACTTTGCCGTAAAGTTTTTATTAAAGAATAATCTATGAAAGATATTTTATAGAATCTCCTGAGAATTTGTACTGCTGTTGAGCATGCTAAATATCTGTTGTGTATTATTTAATTGCTGTTTAAACCGGTGACATGATAGATGTGATATGATTCCTGGGCACAATATTTCAGAGATATTGACAGTCACAATTTTTTTAAATAAAACAATTTTAAATATGTTTGTTTAATACCTTTTTCTCTCCTGATGATGATTCACATATCAAATCTTGCAATTTTTACTGAAGTATATATCAAATTTATGGGTTTATTTTTAACTAGAGGATTCTCATTAGTGATTGGAGGAGAAAAGCCTTCAACTGAGAATTGAAGGGATTTCAGTGAACAAAATGAACATGTTTGTTTTAGCTGGAATACTGCTGCTGTGTAATTGTATTTAGTATCAAGCTGAAAGAGCCATCTGTTGTAGTTTTTGGTAAAAGATTACCCGAACATTTCCATTAAATAAAACAGTGCATGCTAGACACACACTGCCTCGTAATGGCTGAAAGGGGCTTTCTTTTTGTTCCTCGAAGCAGCTTTAGATTTATCTTGATATTTCTATCAATTGTATTCTTTGTGGTCTTCAAAACCAAGTAATTACTACTAATTCCAAGTGATATATGCTTTTTACGTTGGGAGGATGCCTCAAAGCATTTTACAGGATTTACCTTGAAGTATAGTGACTGTATATTCTGCAGGTGAATGTGGCAACTGAATTTGTGGGTGGCAGCTGATTTGCACCTGACAATGTCCGACGTGAAGTAAATAACCAATTTTTATTTCCATTAAACCTTCCATTTAACCTTCCATTAACCAGTTGTACATCACATTGAATTGTGGCAACTTTGGTCCAGACACATTCTACTTCCAGGACAGAGTTACTGCAGGTTGATGGGCACTCTGATGAAGTTCCTTATTAAAACTCAGTATATAGAGGAGATTTAAGTAGTGTTGCTGCTGGTGAAAAGTACTTCTGCCCATTCCTCCAAAGCACATCAACAGTACCAACAATGCACATGGTTTTATGTATTTTACTTAAGAAATGCAAGAACTTTACTGTGAACAAATGTAAACGATTCATGAGTATGGTTGCCTTGCTGCCTCTGCTAGTTTTATACACTGAGCAATAATCATTTTTTTACAAAGCAATTCAAAACACATGTCTTTATGAACGTAGGAAACATAATAATCAGCACTTGAGAACCAACCCATCAGTAGGTAGTCTCAATCATGGTTCATTACTCTAATGGCATTACCCTAGTGTCAGAAATGCAAATTCATGCTGCTTGCTTGTCAAAATAGGTTATAAATTGAAGACTGAAACTCTCCCCAAAATGGGAAAAAAGAAACAAAGCTTTCTTTAATCATACTGTATAACACAGAATTAAGGGCACTTACTGGCCTCATTTTCCATGCTCCTGCCTGCCCTATCATTGTTTATTTATTATTTTCTCTAAAAGTTAGGCATTTTGATTTTTCTCCATCACAATATTGAAGAAAATGAGAATATTTTTTATCGATACAGATGATATTACCGTCGATTGTATTATATTGTTTTTAAAGATTATGTTTGAGTACTTCATTTGATTCCTTTAAGACATAGACCAATATAAGCAGCCTGATTCCCAGATGTGACTTGTGGTCTTATTTCTTTATTGAAGTGTCTGCCCTCAGTCCTACTCCATTCTACTTCTGCATATGTATGACTGTCAAATCAGACTGCACACCAAATTATTAGCTGCTACAGACAAAGTCCTGGTAGTCTGCAATGTTTTGGTCTGGTATGGCTACTTATAATATACATTGTCACATGCCTGTGGGACGCATTTATTCCTCTTGAAATTCCATTTGGCGAAACCCTTTGCTTAATGCTAACCAGAATTTCAGCCATTATAGTCTGTCTCTCTAAAAGGTACCATTCTAGTTACGTGAAGTACACTCTTCAGATATTATCATCAAATTAAGAATTTATTAATTCTTTACACTGTTCACTTTACAGTATATTTTGTGAAGCGCTTTGGGACGTCTCGAGCACATGATAAGGCGTTATGTCAAATGCAAGGATTATTATTATTAAGTTTTTTTTGTAGGATTGCACTGCAAAATCTAGATACATAAACAGACTATAAAGGAGGGTACTGCTTTAGTCTCTATTAGGGGCATAGAGCCAGACTACAGATCCATTCAATACAGTATTTGCTTACTGACAACCAATCATTAAAACAGCCTCAACCCTTACAATTGAGGGCATTTATCTACCCCAGTAGCAAGTACATTGGTATCATTGAAACTAGTGAAAAGCTTTCTAAACCTTTGCCAAACCCTTCATGCAAGTAATTAAAGCAGTTATTTCCTGCACAGAATAAATAAAACCAGAATATTCCAAATATAAAAATCTGTCTTTATTTTAACTGAATTAGTTTTTACAGTATTTATACTAACTTTTTAAAATCTCATTTTATAGTATATTGCGTATATTTTTTCATTGGTAAGATCTCATGCAACCCCTGAAGTTCTGGTGCTTTGGAGCTAACAGTGTGTGACAGCTCGAATGTCCTGCGTTAGTCACATTCAGTGGGCTGTGACAGGGTAAATGACACCAATTACCCGATATAATTACTGTCTCTGACAGTAGCTTCCCCCCAGTGATCATTTGATGAGTTTTGCAATGCCTGCCTTGTCAATCCAGTCATCGTCTGAAGACCCATATTACTATCCATAGTCCTTTCACAGACATTGATTAGCTGCTCGGCTTTCAGTCAAGCTACTCTGAAATATAACAAGCTGAACTGTGAAATAGGCTGCATTCAGATAGTTATGAGAGACTTCTGAGCCTAAATATTTATAGTCCTTTACTATGAGGATCATGAATTGATTGTTAGATGCAGCCTTAGGGGTGAGCACCAGAGCAATTTTCTTCCCTGAATCAGTCCGCAATTCAGACATTCTGAAAAATCAAGTGTTAAAAACAACACTGCTCCTGTGTCAAGAACAACAATCCCTGTGCCCCTATGTAGCATATGTTGGCAGCCGTGATCAATGGTTTGCAGCCTTATGTCAGTGATTGGAAATGACTAGGCAAAGTGACAGGCAGATTCATGTCCCGGTCTGCTCCCTTTATAAGTTTATTTTGCCCTTGAGGTCATGCGTAATAAACACTGTAAATGTCTTCATATCCGACGTGCTTTGTAGTTCAGCAATGGGATCACTACAGATCTTTGTTTCAGTCAGCGGCAGGCTGCCGGGAGGAGACAAGAAACCTTGGTCCATCAACACTGATCGCATCTTAATTCTACTTAAAACTACGCTAAACTTGCAAACAATTTATTTTAATTTGGGAGTGGCATAGACAAGTTCACTCCTCCTCACCTCCCATTTCGAGTTTAGAAAGCAAATTCATGTCAGATGTTGATTCGATCACATGTATATGGTTCTATCAATGTACAGTAACATTGCTTTTCACCAAGTGCAAAGTTGGCATTGGTAGAAATCTGGAATTCTCTCCTTCAAAGGCCATAAATGCCTAATCCATCCACACCTTCAAGAGTGAGGTTGATAGATTCTTGGTAGCTTAGGGCAGTAAGGGAAATGGGGAGAAAGTGGGAAATTGGAATTGAAAGGATTAGCTGAGATACAGATCAGCCATGACCTAATTAAATGGCGGAACAGGCTCGAAGGGCTGAATGGCCTACTCCTGTTCCTATGTTCCTATGTTTTCAGATGATGAGTGCAAACAAATTAACAAAATTGTTCCCACCTGGTAAAAATGGTCCATAGGAAAACTGGTGACAAGGTGTTAATATAAGAAATAGATTAAGAATTAAAATGGAAGAAGTGGAAAATAAATTTAAAAAAAATGTTAACCCAAAAGGGACAGAGATTAGGGTAATTAATGATGATAAAGGGGTGCACAAGAAATGTCTTCAAAATATTTAATATTGCGCCTTTTTTAAATTGATTTAGGTTGGGGTTAATATTGTAGTAGCAAAAATCATCCTGAAATTGGAGTCACTTTGATTATATAATAAAGTGGGCCATAGAAAATCTGATTGTAGATGCGGCAAGAATAATTCACCTGTCATGTATTTGGTCCTTTCTATTATAAAATCTATCCATGACAGGTGACGACGACAACAACTTGCATTTCCCCCACAAAAATATATATAGTCAGTTCAATTTGTAGTATATTTTGTGAAGCGCTTTGAGACATCTCGAAGGTGTGATAAGGTGCTATATCAAATGCAAGGATTATTATTATTACTGCCCCCATCACGCCGGATGGCATCTCGGAGCACTTGGACTGTTTCCAGTATGAAAGGAAAGCATGTGTTTAGTTGCTTGAATCTCTTTAATAACTTTGCTTTACTGTTGT